GTTTAATAGAAGTAGGTTCGAAAAGTGGTTTCACTACCTAATTTTTTACAGTTCGCCCTTGAGAAGCCATTATTAAACACAAGCCAGCTATACAGATTGCACTTATTGCTAATCCGCCCATTGCGCTATTGCGCGCTGTAGAAGATCTTGCGTCGTCATATCTTTATTTTTTATGCCAGCCAACTAATAGTCTCCATTTCTTTCAAAATCGGCCCCTACCATCATGGATATGGTTATTTGAGCATGTGCGAGCACTGTTTGGAAATTACTCGAACTTAGCGAGCAGGTTGCTTAGTGGTATGGGTGCTGTTCAGTACACGCAAGTCAGTAGTTCAACCCCAACCAGGACCACGAGACTGCTATCTTTCCATGATCGCGATACTGACGGCGGACTTGTCTGAGATCGGATCACTCCCTCCAGTCAGCAAAAAAGTGACGAACACCTATAATGAAGATCTGCGAACACCCAGCACTGTTGTACTAGGATTCTAGGAAGATCGATAAACGTTCAGACGACCAGATATCCTAGAACCACCGCTGAACCTGTACACAAAATTCGGATAACATTTGCGGAATACGTTTGCAAGTAAGCTAACGGACTGCAAATGCTAGGATCCGCATAGCATAAATACGTGATGGGGGGTCATCTAAAATAATGCTTAAAAAGTCTTAAACTTCGATCTTATTCAGTGCGATTTTCTGGATGTTGTCACAAAGATGGTCCATGCAATAATCAAACATGTCTGAGTTTCTTATTTGCTCTTGCAACAGCACCATTTATCTTTAAAGGTGGTGCGAGCTCCACCATATTTTCATTAGTTTCCTTCATTGGCATTCATGGTCGTATCGATGATACGTCTTGAGAATTATTGCGAGTATCATTCCGTAAACTAGAAAACGCTCTTAAAGCTGCATAAAGCTACAAACAAATAAAATTGATCAATGTTAGCTGCAAGCATCTTTTTGCGACCGTCCTAGAAAGTGCTTAAATTTTTAGGAATCCTGTAGAATTCGCACGGCTTGATCTTATGCAGGTGTACTGTATCCGAATAGTTAACGTTAGAGCATACCAAAATGCATTTATAGAGAAGTAAATTGAACATCACCTGAAAATGTCCCAGAGGTCGCATTTGCGCCCTGAACGCCAAATATTTGCACTCTGTCGTAGCAAACAGCTTACACACGGAAACAAGAACACAGCAACGGAGCTTGATCAGTGTGCCACTGAGTTCCATTGCATGTGTGGTATCGTGTGTAGAGCGGACAAGTCGCTTTTTGTATAAGCGAAAAAGAAATTTTTGTATGAATATTTATTGGACGGTACACTATCTTGGTTTCTTCCTTGATAGATAAAGGTTGTCCGTAAACTGCATTGAGCCTTTTTGATTCAAGTTACCACTGTAATATCGACCCAACGGTTAACCGTCAACTCACCACCACTTGCCATCAGCAATCACCCGTCAACTCAATCACCGTTGACGGGTGATTCCAGATGACAAGTGATCGATACAACTAGCTGAGGGACAGGCGAAACAAAGGACCCGTATGGTATGATGGTGAACGCGTTACTCTCCGGAAAGGACAATAATAACGCCTTCCTTCACCACCGCATACACCTGCGGTCAGGAGTTTTGCAAATATCTCAGCATCATTAAACATTATTGCTCATTCTGTTGTGAGAGATTTTTGTATTTCTTTAGAGCTTTACTCATTGGTAGCGTACATATCTACATCAAATCTCAGCATTTTTTCTAACGCTGACACTGGTCAATAATTCAGTGCTTTCCTGATGAGCAACTACGAGATTGTAGCTACAGTATTTAGTAACGAGTTACTTAATTGTTGAAGTACAGCCGCTGAGTGTCTTACATTTGCGAAAAATATGCCTGGACCATGTCAAAAAATCAGCTTTAGTTATGCGATGAGGCCGCGCGTGATCACAAAGCGCTCCGGTCTGCGGTTCTCTCCAAAGCGACTTTAGAGTATTACGTGCTGATGGTTTGGTTTTCCCATTCAAAGATTGGGACCTTTATATCAAAACGTTCTCCGTCATGTCTCCGTGTCCTATGCGAGCGTAGTGCGATATTTGGTTTAATTTTAAGTTTATCGCCTAGTTCTTTTGTATGGATGCGATTACCTGTTAACAACAATGGCATCACTTTGCTTCTCCTTTGGCGATGGAGATAATTCTAAAACACAGAACCAGGCAAAGTCGGATTTTGTGCGCTGATTTTAATTAGGCTACGTGTTGCGCAGTGACTAGAGGCGCCTACACGTGGGATCGATCCCACGTTCCAGGCTCGCCAAGCCTTCCTTCCTCCTGTAGTTTGTAAATTGTTATCAAACTTTTCTAGTAAGTAAACAGTGCTGACTCGATACATCCATATGCCACGAATCATTGTAAAATCCAGATATGCATTCACAATTTGATAGATATCCAATGGTACGCTAATAAAGCAAGTAAATTTAAAAATTTTCACAGTTACCATGTTTGTCAATAAAGCAGCGAGAGTAACCCCGAAACACGCCGAGGTTTCAACGGTTTGGTCTTCTTCAGAACCTAGAAGAGTCAAATTGACATTCAATCCGCTATGACGGAAACTCGGAAAAGAAAGTCGGTGCTGAGATTTATTATAATATTATCAACACAAAGCTCACAACGACAAGCGTTCTAAGGACCTTGACTCCTTCAGCATTGCTAGCAGTTCTCCAACTACTCACCACATTCCGTCATTCACTTGAAGGAGTCAGATCTTCCTTACACTATTTACATGAAACGACGAAGGGACAGAACTCACTCGAGAGATTGAAATTCACGTATTTTAATGAAGCATAAAACATTTATGTACTCACTAGATGCGAATTATTTTTCTGATGAATGGAAAGGCATAAAGAATACTTGTTTCACTGCATCGCCCAGGGAAAATCTTACACGCGTATCACACGAACAGCTCACTCATTAACCTTAGTAACCGTAACTAGAAGTTCTTAGAAGTGATAGGTAACTGATAAGTTCGACTTTGATCTTGTCTATCCATTTATCCTTACTCTTTTCTCTGATAGACGTTGACTTGCACGTCATTGAATCGAAGAAATTTAAAATTTTCTGCAAATATGTGCAAATATTTGCAAACTTTTATTGCAAGACGGGACTAACCATGGTTTATTAATAAAACAACGAGAGTGGGTCCAAAAACAGGCTTGGAGTTCAGTGGCCAGCATTCTAGGGACTTCGTATAGTTCAGCACCTGGAGTAGTTTTCTAACTACCTATTGCATTCTCTTCTTCACTCGAGAGAGTGAGATCTTTTCTGCAGTATTAAATGAGATGATGAAGGGACGAAACTCAATCTTTTCAAGGCTAGTTAGGAAATTCAGAAAACCGCAATGGCTTAGCCAGCAGATCTCCGAAAAGTGGTGATTGTGCTGCGGCCGGCACTACCAGTGAGAACGGGCCGTTCAAGTATCAAGTATCAACTAAGTGAGATCAACGACATTATAAGAGACTGTTACGTGACTGACTTATAACAGCAATGCTCCTACATTGCTTCGCCTTTAACCACGAGGATTAGTCTAAAATGCAGAACAAGGCAAAGTCAGATTTTGTTCACCGATTTTAGGTAGCGTTGCACTATCCATTGCACTATAGAGGCACGCTAACTGGTGAGACAGTCAGTTAATGATATTTGTATCACTTTACTACGTAGTAGACAGCATTTAAACAACCAATGTAAATTGGCAATTACATTACTTGTGAATATATTATGCTGTAGAATAAGGTGTATATTGTGCAAATCAAGTTTCTACAAGGTTTCTTGGGGAATAATCAATTATCGACTGCTTGACTATTATGAAAACCCTTTGATATTCACAGGTGCGGATGACTTTAGCAACATAGGAATTCAAATTTCGAATTGGGTAAATCCCACCCACCGGTAAGCATTATGTCGATACATACGTCTTGTAATTTATTCGGTATAATGCTCACCATGGAATAGTGTGGCGCAGTGGTCGGAGGTGCTAAGCAATACACACCTGGAATCACTTCCGGAGGCCGTGATCCACCAAGCCATCCATGGAATAAAGAATGTTTTGTGAACTTTCTTGTTTACTTCTTCTCAAAACTATTTGACAGTGGACACTGCACGATTATAGTTAGAAGATATGAAGACGACTCCGTTCTCAGCGTTTGCAGAGCTTCGGTCGTAAGTGAAAACTTCTTTGGGAGTTTTCATGCAACCCTGCCCTCTTTTGTTGTGATTACCGCCCTATAGATTTGTTTTTATCTGCGTTTTGAGGGAATTCTTGCGTTTCTCTTGTCCTGAGTGTGCTCCATGTTTATCTGTATATCCTGCGATTTTTTCGGAGCATATGCAGCTCTTATGTATGAATGAAAAAGGACTCATCCGGTAAGCAATCACAGTGCTCGATCATAGCGCGGATGGGTGGCTGGTCGGTCACAGCTTAACTCGAGTTCTTAGTCAAAAGATCAAAAGGTCTAATGACACTATGTATAGATAGGTTAGCCGCCTATCTATGTGCAATGGATTTCTGAGACATAAGGAGAATGTTCAGGATGCATGTTGAATTCTTATTTTTCTTAAGCAAAGTTGAAATACCAGGATGCACCACCGTCCTGGTATTATTTTAAGAAAACGATTAGAACCCTAACTTTACCACATTATGGTTGATTTTAGGACTAAAGCATAAGTGCGCTCCAAACGAAGTTTCCTACCAGCTGCCCGTTCCTTTAATAGTTGCGCCAGGAATGCATCATGACTATTTTTCCTTATTCCATCTAAGACAGCTGTTAAGAAAAGTAAAGAAGTACTAAGAAACCCTATGAAAGTAGTTGTGTTCCGAGCACGTTCTAAGCCATTGCGTACTGGTTTGACAACCGATCAATACTTAGTTGTGCTGAATTTTCCATTTTCTTTGTTTTTGGTCTCGTATTTCTTTCATGTTCTTAGAAGCTCTTCTACTTTCAGTTGCCTCCGGTCTATGAGTGGGCCTACGCTAGATAAAGTTCTCATCGGTGTGCCTGATCGATGGATGCACTGCCCTAAAACTGGAAAGGTGAACGCCTTTGTGGATGTTCCTTAGTTATGTGCAAGTTTCACAAAGGACTATGTTAATTCTGGTTATTAAAACTAAGGGTGGCCAGTGGCATATACATGCGCGCGCCAAGGTAGCTCTCTATCACTCCGGGGTCGGCAAACTGGTACCAGACTGGTCTGAGAGGAAAGCAGCGCTAGCTCGATATATCGGTAGGCCAGATATACATTCAGTCACCTCCAACGATGCTTAATGAAGTCGAATACGTGGCGAATCTCTAAGAGATCAACATCAAGAACTTTATCCTTTATCCTTTACTATAACTTTTACCTAGCTTGTTACTTTTGAATAAGGAACGTCAACAGTTTTGCTTTTCATTACGACCATGATCATCGATCGTATAAGTGCTGTTTTTTCTACTAGTTTGCAGCCCGTCACCCTCAGCCTGATCACAATCACTCGTTAATGGGATTGATTTGGGCAGTTTTTGACCTATTCTTCGACAGTTTCAGAAATGGCAGTAAATAGTTCTTTGATTTAGGGTTATCAACAACGGAATTCTCATGTTGTTCTCTCACATATTGGTCGTTTAATGCTCATTGTTTTAGGTGATTGATGGACTATTCTTTCCTTTCAAAACTCCCTTGTGTGCTCTGTATGATGACCAAATCGAGAAGAGATTACGATTTCATCCCGAGCACGTTTTTAACCATCCTTCAATCAGAGGAAGAAAACTGGGGCTGTGGATTGATCTCACCAAAACAGACCGCTACTATTTTGTTAAGGAGGTATGTCTTTTGATATGATTTCTACTTTTTCTATCATTCATGTGCTCTGCTTTCCTCAAGCTTTTCTTTCTATTACTCTATAGGCCCTCCGTTTTTCTAGTCTTCTTCTGTCTTCGTACTATTTTCTTGTTGCAGTTGTTTTTTTTTAACTAATCACTCTCTCCATGATAAGTGGTGTTTTCGCCCAGTTAGCCGTCTTCAGGTAGAAAGCCGAGAATGTATATATCGTAAAATACCTCTTGCTGGTCATGGATCGTCACCTACAAAGGAGGAAACCGATCGTTTCATAAGACTTGTTCAGGGTTTCACTAAGGTGAGTAGTCAGGAAATCATGTGTTTCAAGAGTTCATCTACTATCTTGCGCAGCAGAAACTTGTGCTTTTAGGATCATCCAGGAGAAATTGTAGGTGTACACTGCACACATGGTTTCAATCGTACAGGTTTTCTTATAGCAGCATATATGGTCATTGCAAGGGTGAGGTATTTAATCCCTTGATTGAGTGGTTCGCGATTAATCTCATTTTGTTGGTTATAACTATCATGTTCCATCATTTCATTGTTTCTATAGGATTGGGCAGTGGATTGTGCAGTTTTGACATTTGCTAAGGAACGTCCATGTGGGATATATAAGCAGGATTACTTGGTAGACCTATTTGAACGTTATGGTGATCCGGATGATTGTTTAGAGGTTGGCATATCTTTTTCTCTGGATGAACAGATCAGTTTGTCGTTAAAATTTAGTCTTGTGGAGCAGGATAGATAGAGGGGCTTTACTTTCGCTTTTCGAAAATTAAGCACCATTTTTTTTATTTTTAGGCACCTAGCAAGCCATCTTGGGAATATGGTGATGCTGTTGGATATGACGATAGTACGGAAGCTTCCACAAGTGAGGCTGGTGAAGATGCTAAAGAAGTAGAAGATGAAGCAGGTCAGTGTGAAATATATAGCAGTTTTAATGGAACTATGTTAACAACAAAATTTTGTAAGTGATTAGGAAGCTGGAATTGTTCCTGGTTGTCGGGCTGTGATGTACAACGGGATATTCATATCCTAAGCATGGTCTCCCGATCTGAGAGAGTCCGGTGTTTCCATCAGGAAACCCAGTTAATAGTAAATCAAAATTAATACCAGGATCCACCAGCGTTCTGGTGCCAAACTAGTCACATAGCTGCCAGTCTCCCTCTGATCCACAAGAGCGGGGACTGCATGTGCTGGTGACGACCCGGGGCAGACTTTGGCTAGGCTGGCCTCGGGACTCCAGGGAACCACAATAGCTAAACCAGCAGAACTCCAGAAGAGTGGGAATTATGCTAGAGTCCGCACAACAAGTGAAGACGAGCCATCCAACCTGTGTCACCTGTATCACCTGTACTCCCGTTGATCGTCGAGTGACTCGAGCGGGCGCCAGTAAATCTTCCATTTTTCCCTTTCGCGTGCAAGAGTAGTCTAATGGGTTCTGCTCACTTTAGGGACCAGGAGCATCATGTCTTTCTTCAAGGCTCTTTGTAAACAACTCTGACCATCGGGTCGGTGGTCTTCCTGCGATACAGTTGACATCCCGAGGAAAGTTGACGTCGCTAACGGCTCTTGTCCATCAGTTGGCGTTCATACGCATTAAATGTCCGGCTCATCTTATGTTCGACAGTTTAGCGTACAGAACGGTATCTTTGACTTCTGATTGTTGACGCAGGTCCGAGATTCGGATCCCATCCCTTACTTGTGTGGAAAAGGGTACTCCTAGCACCGTTCTTTCGACTGTGCGTTCGATAACGCTGAGTGACCTTTCATCCCGTTTACGCAGCGACCAGGTTTCTGACGCATACGTTAGGGCACCGTTCAGTCGAAAAGGTGGGCATGGAGTCGGGTGTTCTTTGTTCTCTTCACTACATCCCCAATGCTCTTGAAAGCTCCCAAGCCGCTCGTTTCCTTCTGCTCAGCTCTGGAGCTGGGTCGTTCATCATATTGATTTCCCGGCCTAGATAGATATAACTAAAGCATTCGGAGATCTTCGTTCCGTTGAGCGTGAATGGGGCATACGAAACCAATCCGTTCTTCATGAACATCGTTTTTGTGAGATTTAGTCGAAGACCAATCTCTCCATAGGCTTTATCAAAGTCGTCAAGTATACGTTCCGCTTGGTCAATGTTTGGTGTTATAAAGACGATGTCATTAGCAAAGCGAAGATGATGTAACTGGCGACCGTCTATTTTTACTCCCATATTATCCCTTTCCAATGTTCGCATGACGTTCTGGAGGGTGGCGGTAAATAATTTTGGTGAGATGGTATCGCCTTACCTAACTCCTCTTTTGACTTAGATGTTAATATCGTTGTAGAATGGTAATATCTTAGTTGTGAAATTTTTGTACAGTTCACGAGGAATCTCTATGTACTGAGTAGGGACTCCTTGACTATCAAGGGCTTCCAAGGCTGCTTCTATCTCAACTGAATCAAAGGCCTTCTGTAAATCGATGAAAGTGAGACAGAGCGGTCTTTATTACTCTCGTGGTACTTCAATGAGCCGTGTTACCGTGTGGATGTGGTGCATCGTACTAAATCCAATTTAATCCATGGGCTCCAATGTGACGTTCTTCATGCGTTCTCCTTGCTCCAATCTTGGCGTTGAAATCTCCAATTATAACCTTAAAGAATGTGTGGTCTTCTCTGTAGAGCTTCTCCGAGTATAGAATGCTTCGATTTCTTCTTCGTCATAGTTTGATGTCGGTGCGTAAACGGCGAAGATTGTCATAGCCGGAACGAGTTGTAAGTTGTTCGAATGAATCATTGTTCATGGTCAAATTCGCCGATTCCTCTACTGTCGCATGTTCTGAGGAACAGTTCTTCTCCGATGTCATAGACGGCGTCGAAAGGCTGGCGTCTTCTCGTCTCGGCCAGGCCGATGACGTCGTACCTTATCCTTCTTGCTTGTATGAGCAGGTCTTCTATCGAGGACTCGGATGCAAGTGTGCGTGCATTGTAGGTAAAGATCGTCACCTTAGTTTTTTGTGATCCAGGTAGCTTCCATTGGCCCTGAGATTTTAGCAGCCTGTCCGTACTCCTGCTACCCAACGCTGCGAAATTGGACTCTTTCGGGGTCAGAGGAATGAGGCCCGTTTTTTTTTTACTGTGTTTAGCACTTTTGATACCCACGTATAGCTTGCTGGGTTCTGAACTTGTGGGCTGGGTATCCCCACGGACAGCTTGCCAAGCTCTCCCAGAGTGTATATGGGGCTTATTTGCTGGAGACGACTCCTAACCGTTTCCCATATACTTCCCAGTCACTTGATTGCAGACTTTTGGCCGAATTGACTCGTAGAATACAGTCCGCATAAGCAAGAACGTACCCACACACGCATGCATGAATACGCCTAGCAAATACAGAAAGTATGTTGCAAATTGGCGCAGCAGAAACAAGGAGTGTATCCCCTGGATCCACCTGCGTCTCAGGAAAGCAATAGTCGCTTTTGGTCCGCGTTAAACCCCCTAATCACCACCTAGGAACGCCTTGCGATTAACCGGCTCGAGATCGCTCATGTGAGGGAGATCCGTGGTATTAGGAAGACCGGAGCTGTCAATTCCACGTTTCCGAGTAAGTTTTGGTTTCCAAGGTAGTTAGATTTTAGGGACTTGTAAAGAACCGCCTATTCTTAATTCGTTGCAACTTTTCTTCCCAGATTTATTTTTCTAATGAAAAAAGTTATAGACACAGCTCAAGGAAAGCGGTTCATGGATGGCATGGTACAAGGTGTAGTTCTTATCAAGGATTCTTTAAAGAAAAAAATGCTCCAAGGCAAGGTAATATTGTTCCATCTTTTTAATTCTACGTCATGCTAACCGCTGTCATTATGTAGATAAAAGAATTGTGTGGGGCGAAGAGAGATGGATTTCCTGGGCTGCAGCCCGTTTCGCTGGAAAGGTCTCGTGATAATGACAATTTGAAATTGCTAGCGCAGCGGCCATATATGGTCTCCTGGAAAGCGGATGGAATGAGGTTATTAAGTTTTCAAGATGTGATTTTTCACTTGGTCGTTTCTTCGTTTGTACTCATTGTAATTTTTTTCGGAGAAGTCTTGACCTTACTTTTACTTCCTGTTCTAAAGGTAGATGAATTGCAAGATTAGTGATTTCAGGTACATGGTCTATATTTGTGATGAGAACGAAGTGTATGCATTTGATCGCGATAATGAAGTGAGTAACATCACTAGCACATAAACAAACACATGCTTACATTTTATATTTTACGCCTATCAACGATTTACTACCTCATCGTGGTTGGGAAATGTTCCTGGATCTCGGACTGCGATGTGCAGCGGGTGGAATTCATCCCTCCAGCAGAGTCTCCCTATCTGTGAAGGTGTCCGGCGTTTCTGTCAGGAAGCCTAGCTAAGAGTAAACCAATACCCTGATCCACTACCGTCATAGCATCAAACTAGTCGCATGGTGGTAAATCTCTCTCTGTTACACAAAGGTGGCGGCTGCCTGTTGTGGTGACGATCTGGGGCAGGCTTTGGCTTGGTTGACCTCGGGTCTCCAGGGAACCACAGTTGCTAAACCAGCAAAACTCCGAAAATATGGTAATTATGCTGGGGCCCGTGCAATCAGTGAAGACGAGCCATCCAACTGTCTAAGTATTCAATGAAGTGAGTGAATGGGAGGCTTTCATGTAGAAGTACTTTTTTTCTTCTAGTGGTTTTTGATGTAGGAAAACTGCTATATTTAGGTGTTTCATATCCAGGGATTGTCTTTCCCTCATAGAAAACATCCAAGACATGTCGTGAATACGTTAGTGGACGCAGAGATGATAATCGATCATGTCAGTTGTTTTTTTTCGGCATAGAAGTCTCAGACATTTTGTATCATCATCTCTTAACATCTGTAAAATTTACTTCGTTTCCCTTTTTAAGGTTAACGACGAGAATGGAAAGACTGTTGATTTGCCCAGACTTCTAATATATGATATTATTCACTTTGAGGTTACTTTTTATTATATTGTTTTTATAACAAATTAATTCTACGATCACAACTAGCACGTCTTTTCTTTTTAGGATGTCCATGTGGGGAAAGACAATTTCGATATTAGATTTATGTGCATACGAAAGGAGCTCATAGAGCCTAGAAATGCTGCAATAAAGGTATTTTAAAATGAGTTTATTTATACTGGTGTTTTATACAATGGGATGCGTGTAGCGCACTGGTTAGAGGTCTCCTGCAATAAACACGGGATTGACACGGGTTCCCCAGGATCACCATACCTCCCATCCCTCCAGGGATTGTCAAATTGGTACCAGACTTGTTTGAGGGGATTAGTAGCACTGGCTCGATACATCGATAGGCAACCACAAGTCATTGTAAAGGCCAGATATGCATTCACTCACCTCCAACGTTGCTTAATGAATTCGAATGCATGGCGCATCCCTGAGGGATTGATCAACGCTGAGAGCTTTATCCTTTATCCTGTATTTTATACAATTGCTAATGTTACAAATTATCCTACACAGTTGTGCGATGAAGAAGTAAAGCCATGTCTTAGTGGTTGTCTTTTAGTGGAAACGTTATGCGCACTTTCACTTACTTTTCTGTGATTCTACATTTCTTTCGAATACAATTCAAATCATATAGGAAATGTAGCTAGTCTTCAGTGTGGGCTGAAGCGTTAAATGAATATGTGGGCTTGGTCATTGCCTTTCCCTGGGCGGCACTAGAACTGAATGGAAGCCCATTTATACTATCTAGGCAGGTCGCATTCGGAAAGACCGTGAACCAATGTCTGTGCGTGTGAAGGACTTTTGGGAGATGGAAGCTCTACCCAAACTTTTTGAACCAAAGTTCACCAAGAACGTGGGCCATGAGATCGATGGTCTTATTCTTCAGCCAGTTGACGCCGTAAGTTGGTTATGTCTAGTCATATGTGTGCTAGCTCGAATTAGTGACCCTGTTGCCAATCCCACAGCCACTTTGTCTTAGCCATACACTTGTGGACGTTCTGATATAGTCCTGAAATGGAAACCGCCTTCACATAACTCCATCGACTTCAAGTTGCAAATCAGGAAGTGAGTTTTTTGGTTCATCATTAGGTCCTTAATTCTTCTTATTCTTTTTTGAACTTATTATGTATTGCCTACTCTTTTTAATGGCAGGGTATGTTGCGAAATATAACTTCAGTGATGCAGAGATATTTGCAAAACTCTTGGCTGCAGGTATGTGCGGTGGGGACGAACACGCTGTTATCCTTTCCGGGGGCTAACGCGTTCACTACCACACCATGTAGGTCCTTCGTTTTGCCTGTCTTTTCTCATTTTATTCTGCTTGTTGCAGTTACTTGTTATCTCTTACTATTATCTTTGATTTGGTTTATCATTTCCTTGTTGAAAGGATGATTCTATAGTATTTGCTTCCACATTCTTGGATTATCCCGGGACTTTTCTGTAGTCGGCATTCGATGTTTTCGGTTTTTCCTAAAGGTTTTTTCTTTCCTATGTTTCGCTAAGCTTGTATTACATGGCGTCATATGATCTTATTTCGAAAAGTAACATCTAGAAACAAGAAAACTAGCTCAGAGAAGAGCGAAGCGAAGGACGAGCGTGGTGTAGTCGTGAACGCGTTGGTCCTCAGAAAGAGTAATAGCGTGTTCGATCTCCACCGCAGACACCTGCCGTCTGGAGGTTAACATCCTAGACTTATTACTGTTGACTAGATCGTTCTGTAATTTTTAATTCTTCGTCTTTGTATTTGTAAATATTTTGATCCTTTCAGAGTGGTAAAAGAAGGTGAATTACCGCAACATATAGGGTACCTGTACGTGCAAAACTCGAACGAACCAATGGCTACAATGAAGGCTACAAAAAAGTTGTTACCTTATGACAACAAAATCATTGAATGCACGTTTGAAGTACGATTGGCTATTTATCTCATGGCTTTTGAACGACGTTTCTGCTGAAGACGGTATACCTATTCAGAATGGCCAATGGATCTTCATGAGGGAAAGAACCGACAAGTCGTTGCCTAATTCATTGAAGACGGCTCAGGCAGTTTACAGTAGCATGGTAAATCCAATAGACAAGAATACATTGATCGAGTAGGTTTGATTCAATTATTGATTTTACTGGAAACTTTTGCATGCTGTCTGCATCTAATATTTATATTACTATATTTATCTGAATATTTTTGAGCCGCAATTTTTTTTGGAAGGGGTTTCAAGCGTTGTGCAGTTTTATAGTTATCGTCCTGTAATACGCACGTGGTACAGGTTGGGCTCTGCTGCGGATCATGCAATACTTTCGTTTCAGTTGGGAAATTCGTAGGAGTCTTGTCTTGCTTGGTGAGATCTACAAGTGGATAACCTGTAATGACTAAATAGGAAAACTCTAGCACGGCTATCCAAGGATACAGAAATCAAAATACTCGAAATTACTCGCAAATACGATACGAGTACCTTCACCGATGGATGAAACGAAACATATTAGAGAGGTGCAGGGTTTCGTACAAAATGTGACTTCAGCTCATGAAAAAACGCACGAAATAAATTTTCTTCGAGTTGGAACGTTATTTTCTGCCGAATTTAACCACTTTTATTTTTCATTTCATTATTTACAACTGTTTTCAAAGATTATACATAATTTCTTTGTTAAGTGCAAGATAGTGTTTTAGACTTTGCGACTCCAAGAGTTTAGAGAGATCGATTTTGACATTCTCGTAAAAGTTGAGACTTTAGTCTCTCATATAACGGTGATAATGGCAAAAAGTTGACCAGAGGCGGCCTTCGGAATCTGGGGATCTAGGATTTTGCACCCAATTTTTCCACTTATATGATGCGGCTCAAGCATGATGATTCGCACTTTATCATTCGTCTACTGCCACATTTGTCACTTTCCTCCATATATGCGTGCTTTTTACATTCTTGCTGTGTAATGTTCTAGGGTATATATATATATGTATATATATATATATATATATATATATATATCAAAAGACAGACTTTCTTAAACCTCGGCATAAATAGTTGATACATTTATTTATACGANTCGTATAAATAAATGTATCAACTATTTATGCCGAGGTTTAAGAAAGTCTGTCTTTTGATATATATATATATATATATATATATATATATATATATATATATCAAAAGACAGACTTTCTTAAACCTCGGCATAAATAGTTGATACATTTATTTATACGATCTTATAAACTGATCCACGGATCTCCCTGACATGAGGGATTTCGAGCCGGTTAGTCGCGAGGCTACGTGGTGCATCCCCAGGTGGCGGATAGAAGATTAATCGCGGACCAAAAGCGACCTTTGCTTCCCTGAAACGCAAGTGGATCGAAGGGATGGACTCGCTGTTTCTGCTCCGCTGATTTGACACGTACTTTCTGTATCTGCTAGGCGTATTCATGCATTCGTGTGTGGGTGCGTTCTCGCTTATACGGATTGTATTCTACGAGGTAATTCGACCAAAAGTCTGCAATCAAGTGGCAGGGAAGTATATGGGAGGCGGTTAAGAGTCGCCTCCAAGAAACAAGCTCCATGTCCACTCTGCGAGAGCCTGGCAAGCTGCCGTGAGTATACCCAGCGCCCACGTTCAGAACCCAGCAAGCTATACGTGGGTATCAAAATGCTAAACACGGTAAAAAAAAAAATGGGCCTCATTCTTCTGACCCCGAAAGAGTCCAGTTTCGCAGCGTTGGGTACGACAAGTACGGACAGGCTGCTAAAATCACAGGACCAATGGAAGCTACCTGGATTACAAAGAACCAAGGTGACGATCTTTACTTACAATGCACGCACACTTGCATCCGGGTCCTCGATGGAAGACTTCCTCATGCAAGCAAGAAGGTTAAGGTACGACGTCATCGGCCTGGCCGAGACGAGAACACGCCAGCCATTCAACGCCGTTTATGACATCGGAGAAGAACTGTTCCTCAGAACATGCGACAGTAGAGGAGTCGGCGGCGCCGGTGTTCTCGTCAAGACGAGTTTGTCCATGAACATCGATTCATTCGAATAGCTTGCAACCCGAATCGGACGCTTACGATCAAAAAGATGTGGATCAACTCCGGCTTTGACAATCTTCGTCGTTTACGCGCCGACATCAAACTATGACTAAGAAGAAGTCCAAGCGTTCTATGTGGACTTGGAGAAGTTCTGCAGGTAAGACCACACATTCTTCAAGGTCATCATTGGAGATTTCAACGGCAAGATCGAACCAAGAAGAACGTCACATTGGGACACACGGATTAGAATGGAACGAGCAGGGTGAGCGGCTATCTGAGTTTGTCATGACGACCAAGACAATCCATGGTAACTCGCAATTCCAGATCCCCCACCCTCAGCGCTGGACGTGGGAGTCTCCCATTGGAGAGTACCATAACGAAGTAGGCCACATAATAGTAAATAGAAGGTTTTGCCTAACCGATATCACTGTTGTCCAAAAATTCTACACAGGATCAGACCATAGTCTCCTTCGTGCAAGATTCTATTTCTCGCGGAAAGGAGAAAAAGCCGCTAAATTCCAAAACCGAGGTCTTGGAACCACTATAAACTGGGACTTATCTAATTCGTTAGTCGGCTGCTGAGAAGATGCCGTTGTCGATAACATCGACGAAGAATACGATCGGTTCATTCAACGCCTTTACGTCAGCGCTGTGAAAGCTGTGAGTTCGAAAGTCACCAACAGACGTCTGACCCCGAAAACACTCGAGCTGATACGCTAGCGTGGAATCGCACGAGCTGCAGGCAACCGCGAAATAACGTCCGAGCTTGCAAAACAATGCAGACAGGCGATAAAAGATGATCTTAAAGAGCGAAACAGCTGTAATGGTCGAAGCTGCAGAAGCTGGGAAAAGCATTCGCAAAGCTCACCAAGGCTTCGCCAATTACAAGACCAAAGTGATTGCACTCCGACGCTCAGCCGAAACATTTACAGCGCCCAGAAATGCAATGGAGAAGATCATTCACGAAAACTAATCAGATCTCTTCGATGGGCACGTCCACCCTCCTTCAAGTGAAATAAAGGAGAATGGATATGCTGTACCACCGGTTCTCGCTTTCGAAATCCGACATGCGATTTCGTCGGTGAAAAATCGAACAGTACCAGGTCCGCAGAGTATAGGACCAGAATTTGTGAAGAACCTCCCGCCAGTGCTCGTTAACACACTGGCTCGGCTCCTCACACGTTACCTGTCTGAATGCAAGGTTCCTACTCAGTGGAGGACCAGCATGACCGTGTTATTGTTCAAGAAGGGTGGCCTGTGCGATATCGGTAACTTGCCCAATCTGCTTGCTCTCTGTCTTCTACAAACTTTTCACTCTAGTCTTCCTAAACAGGATTTGTCAGAATACTGGACGAAGGACAGCCATGTGAGCAATCAGGGTTTCGAAAAGGATTAAGTATGATGGACCACATCCACACGATAACGAGGCTCATTTAAGTATCGCGAGAGTACAAAAGACCGCTCCATCTAACTTTCATCGATTTACAGAAGGCCTTTGATTCAGTTGAGATAGAAGCAGTCATGGAAGCCCTTGATAGTCAAGGAGTCTCTACCCAGTACATAATTATTCTTCGTGAGTTATACAAAATTTTCACAACCGAGATATCACTATTCTGCAACGATTTTAACATTGACGTCAAAAGAGGAGTTTGGTAAGGCGATACCATCTCGCCCAAAGTTATTCATCGTCATCCACGAGAACCTCATGTTAACATTGGAATGGGATAATATGGGAGTAAAAATCGACGGTCGGCAGTTACATCATCTTCGCTTTGCTGATGGCATCGTCTTTATAACACCAAACATTGACCAAGCGGAACGTATACTTGACGACTTTGATAAAGCCTATGGAGAGATTGGTCTTCGACTAATTCTCATAAAAACGATGTTCATGAAGAACGGATTGGTTTCGTATGCCCCATTCATGCTCATCGGTACGGATATCTCCGAATACAGCAGTTATATCTATCTAGGTTGGGAAATCAATATGATGAACGACCTAGCTCCACTGAGCAGAAGGAAACTAGCGGCTTGGGGAGCTTTCAAAAGCATCGAGGTTGTAGTGAAGAAAACAAAGAACGCCCGACTCTATGCCCACCTTTTCGACTAAACGGTACTTCCTCCCCTAACGTATGCGTCAGAAACCTATTCGCTGCATAAGCAGGATGGAAGATCAGTCAGCGTTATCGAACACGCAGTCGTAAGCAATGCTAGGAGCATCCCGCTTCGCATAACTAACGGACGGGGTCCGAAGCTCCGATCTACGTTAACGATCAGAAATCAAAGATGCTGTTCTGTACGCCAAACAGTCGAAGACAAGGTGAGCCGGACACGTAATGCGTTTGAATGACAACCGATGGACAAGAGCCGTTAGTGACTGGATTCCTCGGCATGTTAAACGTACTGCAGGAAGACCGCCGGCCCGATGGTCAGAGTTCTTCACAAAAAGCCTTGAAGAAAGATATGTTGCTCGACGAGTCCCTAGAGCGAGCAGAACCCACTGGACAACTCTTGCATGCGACAGTGAGAAATTGAGGATTTGCGGCCCCCGCTCGAGTCACTCGACGATCACCGTGTCTACAGGTGATACAGGTGGTAAACTGATCTTTTTGAGCCGATGCGAGCTTGGTATAGGCCTTCGTTGTCGTTATTGTGGTTACCGTTTTTATTTTTGATCTATGGCTGACGTTTCGGCGATTTAGCCTTCGTCATAGCCGTATTGTTACGGGTGGGATTGTATATGTATATGTATATATTACATATCGCCACAAGTTGCTAGCTTGTTTTACTACTAGGACTTGAAACTAAGACCAAGATTATGAACCTTGTTGGTTTAAGGCGTGTGTTTCAACCTCACATTCTTTTATTTCTATTTTGCACATGTCGTATTTGTCCGACTCGGAGCACTTCTTGAACTCAGTTCGTTTTCTTGCATTCGCCATCCACTAAAGTTTGTGAACTTTTTTTGCGTGAGTTCGACTGCTGCTCAAGGATTTTTGTTTTTTTTTATGAATGTCGTTGAAAGCTGGCTAATTCAATTCCTATTCTTGGATAGCCGTGTTGCACGTTGCCAATTCTTCATAAC